GGTGAATGGATAGGGTTCCCGCTAGTTCACTAGGGGTTCGCGGCTCAGCCCCATCCCCCCTCCCCCTCCCCCCTCCCTCCCCGTTGCTGGAAATGGCAACTCCAAGCTCGCTGCATATATGTGTGTGCGTGCGGGTGTACTCACCTATTTGTACTCGCGTATTTGTGCTTGCAGGATCGAGCATTGGCTCTTGGATCCCGCCTTTCCAGCTATCGGTTGTTTACAGCAATGACTCCTGTCCCATTTCCCTATCATACCTAATTTTAAAAGTATAAATAGAGTTTGCTTCCACAACCTGTTCCCCAAGTGCATTCCATTTTTCCACTACTCTCACGCTAAAAGAAAACTTCCTAACATCTCTGTGACTCATCTGAGTTTCCAGTTTCCACCCATGTCCCCTCGTTCTGTTATTATTACGTGTGAACATTTCATCTATTTCCACTGTGTCAATTCCCCTGAGTATTTTATATGTTCCTATCATATCTCCTCTCTCCCTTCTTTTCTCTAGTGTCGTAAGGTTCAGTTCCCTCAGACGGTCTTCATATCCCATCCCTCGTAACTCTGGGACAAGCCTCGTCGCAAACCTCTGAACCTTCTCCACTTTCCTTATGTGTTTCTTCTGGTGGGGGCTCCATGATGGCGCGGCATACGCTAAGACGGATCTCACGTAGGCAGTGTAAAGCGCCCTAAAAGCCTCCTCATTTAGGTTTCTGAACGAAGTTCTAATTTTCGCCAGTGTAGAGTACGCTGCTGTCGTTATCCTATTTATATGTGCCTCAGGAGTTAGATTAGGTGTCACATCCACTCCCAGGTCTCTTTCTCGAATCGTTACAGGTAGGCAGTTCCCTTTCATCGTGTACTTCATTGTGTGTGTGTGTGTGTGTGTGTGTGTGTGTGTGTGTGTGTAGGGAAGGTGTGACCACCTATTATCCCGAGGAGGTGTCAATTATTACCCCCTCAACAGCTCCTGGGGTGCCAATTATCACCCCCTTATACAGCTCCTGGGGTGCCAATTATCACCCCCTTATACAGCTCCTGGGGTGCCAATTATCACCCCCTTCTACAGCTCCTGGGGTGCCAATTATCACTCCCCTCTACAACTCCTGGGGTGCCAATTATCACCCCCTTATACAGCTCCTGGGGTGCCAATTATCACCCACTTCTACAGCTCCTGGGGTGCCAATTATCACCCCCTCTACAACTCCTGGGGTGCCAATTATCACCCCTTATACAGCTCCTGGGGTGCCAATTATCACCCCCTTCTACAGCTCCTGGGGTGCCAATTATCACCCCCTCTACAACTCCTGGGGTGCCAATTATCACCCCCCCTCTTCAGCTCCTGGGGTGCCAATTATCACCCCCTTCTACAGCTCCAGGGGTGCCAATTATCACCCCCTTCTACAGCTCCTGGGGTGCCAATTATCACCCCCTTCTTCAGCTCCTGGGGTGCCAATTATCACCCCCTTCTACAGCTCCTGGGGTGCCAATTATCACCCCCCGCTACAGCTCCTGGGGTGCCAATTATCACCCCCTTCTACAGCTCCTGGGGTGCCAATAATCACCCCCTTCTACAGCTCCTGGGGTGCCAATTATCACCCCCTTCTTCAGCTCCTGGGGTGCCAATTATCACCCCCTTCTACAGCACCTGGGGTGCCAATTATCACCCCACCACAGCTCCTGGGGTGCCAATTATCACCCCCTCTACAGCTCCTGGGGTGCCAATTATCACCCCCTTCTACAGCTCCTGGGGTGCCAATTGTCACCCCCTTTTACAGTTCCTGGGGTGCCAATTATCACCCCACCACAGCTCCTGGGGTGCCAATAATCACCCCCTCTACAGCTCCTGGGGTGCCAATTATCACCCCCTTCTACAGCTCCTGGGGTGCCAATTATCACCCCCACCACAGCTCCTGGGGTGCCAATTATCACCCCCTCTACAGCTCCTGGGGTGCCAATTATCACCCCCTTCTACAGCTCCTGGGGTGCCAATTATCACCCCCTTCTACAGCTATTGGGGTGCCAATTATCACCCCCTTCTACAGCTCCTGGGGTGCCAATTATCACCCCCCTCTACAGCTCATGGGGTGCCAATTATCACTCCCTTTACAGCTCCTGGGGTGCCAATTATCACCCCCCTTCTACAACTCCTGGGGTGCCAATTATCACCCCCTTCATCAGCTCCTGGGGTGCCAATTATCACCCCCTTCTACAGCTCCTGGGATGCCAATTATCACCCCCTTCTTCAGCTCCTGGGGTGCCAATTATCACCCCTTTCTACAGCTCCTGGGGTGCCAATTATCACCCCCTTATTCAGCTCCTGGGGTGCCAATTATCACCCCTTCTACAGATCCTGGGGTGCCAATTATCACCCCCTTCTACAGCTCCTGGGGTGCCAATTATCACCCCCTCTACAACTCCTGGGATGCCAATTATCACCCCCCTCTACAGCTCCTGGGATGCCAATTACCACCTCCCTCTACAGCTCGTGGGGTGCCAATTATCACCCCCCTCTACAGCTCCTGAGGTGCCAATTATCACTCCCTTTACAGCTCCTGGGGTGCCAATTACCACCCCCTCTACAGCTCATGGGTGCCAATTATCACCCCCTCTACAGCTCCTGGGGTGCCAATTATCACCCCCCTCTACAGCTCCTGGTGTGCCAATTACCACCCCCCTCTACAGCTCATGGGGTGCCAATTATCACCCCCCTCTACAGCTCCTGGGGTGCCAATTATCACCCCTCTACAGCTCCTGGGGTGCCAATTATCACCCCCTTCTACAGCTCCTGGGGTGCCAATTATCACTCCCTTTACAGCTCCTGGGGTGCCAATTATCACCCCCCTCTACAGCTCCTGGGGTGCCAATTATCACCCCCCTCTACAGCTCCTGGGGTGCCAATTATCACTCCCTTTACAGCTCCTGGGGTGCCAATTACCATCCCCCTCTACAGCTCCTGGGGTGCCAATTATCACCCCCCTCTACAGCTCCTGGGGTGGCAATTATCACCCCCCTCTACAGCTCATGGGGTGCCAATTATCACTCCCTTTACAGCTCCTGGGGTGCCAATTACCACCCCCCTCTACAGCTCCTGGGGTGCCAATTGTCACCCCCCTCTACAGCTCCTGGGGTGCCAATTATCACCCCCTCTACAGCTCATGGGATGCCAATTATCACCCCCTCTACAGCTCCTGGGGTGCCAATTATCACCCCCTCTACAGCTCCTGGGGTGCCAATTATCACCCCCCCTACAGCTCCTGGGGTGCCAATTATCACCCTACACTACAGCTCCTGGGGTGCCAATTATCACCCCACCACAGCCTCTGGGGTGCCAATTATCACCCTACTACAGCTCCTGGGGTGCCAATTATCACCCCACCACAGCCTCTGGGGTGCCAATTATCACCCTACCACAGCTCCTGGGGTGCCAATTATCACCCCACCACAGGCTCAGGGGGGCCAATTATCACCCCACCACAGCCTCTGGGGTGCCAATTATCACCCTACCACAGCTTCTGGGGGGCTAATTATCACCCCACCACAGCCTCTGGGGTGCCAATTATCACCCTACCACAGCCTCTGGGGTGCCAATTATCACCCTACCACAGCCTCTGGGTACCAATTATCACCCCCCCGTCTACAGCTCCTGGGGTGCCAATTATCACCCCCCCCGTCTACAGCTCCTGGGGTGCCAATTATCACCCCACCACAGCCTCTGGGGTGCCAGCATCACCCCACCACAGCCTCTGGGGTGCCAGCATCACCCCACCACAGCCTCTGGGGTGCCAGCATCACCCCACCACAGCTCCTGGGGTGCCAGCATCACCCCACCACAGCCTCTGGGGTGCCAGCATCACCCCACCGCAGCCTCTGGGGTGCCAGCATCACCCCACCACAGCCTCTGGGGTGCCAGCATCACCCCACCACAGCCTCTGGGGTGCCAGCATCACCCCACCACAGCTCCTGGGGTGCCAGCATCACCCCACCACAGCCTCTGGGGTGCCAGCATCACCCCACCACAGCCTCTGGGGTGCCAGCATCACCCCACCACAGCCTCTGGGGTGCCAGCATCACCCCACCACAGCTCCTGGGGTGCCAGCATCACCCCACCACAGCCTCTGGGGTGCCAGCATCACCCCACCGCAGCCTCTGGGGTGCCAGCATCACCCCACCACAGCCTCTGGGGTGCCAGCATCACCCCACCACAGCCTCTGGGGTGCCAGCATCACCCCACCACAGCTCCTGGGGTGCCAGCATCACCCCACCACAGCCTCTGGGGTGCCAGCATCACCCCACCACAGCCTCTGGGGTGCCAGCATCACCCCACCACAGCCTCTGGGGTGCCAGCATCACCCCACCACAGCCTCTGGGGTGCCAGCATCACCCCACCACAGCCTCTGGGGTGCCAGCATCACCCCACCACAGCCTCTGGGGTGCCAGCATCACCCCACCACAGCCTCTGGGGTGCCAGCATCACCCCCACCACAGCCTCTGGGGTGCCAGCATCACCCCACCACAGCCTCTGGGGTGCCAGCATCACCCCACCACAGCCTCTGGGTGCCAGCATCACCCCACCACAGCCTCTGGGGTGCCAGCATCACCCCACCACAGCCTCTGGGGTGCCAGCATCACCCCACCACAGCCTCTGGGGTGCCAGCATCACCCCACCACAGCCTCTGGGGTGCCAGCATCACCCCACCACAGCCTCTGGGGTGCCAGCATCACCCACCACAGCCTCTGGGGTGCCAGCATCACCCCACCACAGCCTCTGGGGTGCCAGCATCACCCACCACAGCCTCTGGGGTGCCAGCATCACCCCACCACAGCCTCTGGGGTGCCAGCATCACCCACCACAGCCTCTGGGGTGCCAGCATCACCCACCACAGCCTCTGGGGTGCCAGCATCACCCCACCACAGCCTCTGGGGTGCCAGCATCACCCGGTTAGCCGCAAAGTTTGCAGTCAAGACAAACTTGAGCGTCGTAACTCTCACTGGAGGTGCACATGGCTGGCGGTGCGGGTACGGACGCCACCCTGGAGGTGCACATGGCTGGTGGTGCGGGTACGGACGCCACCCTGGAGGTGCACATGGCTGGTGGTGCGGGTACGGACGCCACCCTGGAGGTGCACATGGCTGGTGGTGCGGGTACGGACGCCACCCTGGAAGTGTACATGGCTGGTGGTGCGGGTACGGACGCCACCCTGGAGGTGTACATGGCTGGTGGTGCGGGTACGGACGCCACCCTGGAGGTGTACATGGCTGGTGGTGCGGGTACGGACGCCACCCTGGAGGTGTACATGGCTGGTGGTGCGGGTACGGACGCCACCCTGGAGGTGCACATGTCTGGTGGTGCGGGTACAGACGCCACCCTGGAGGTGCACATGTCTGGTGGTGCGGGTACAGACGCCACCCTGGAGGTGCACATGTCTGGTGGTGCGGGTACAGACGCCACCCTGGAGGTGCACATGGCTGGTGGTGCGGGTACGGACGCCACCCTGGAGGTGCACATGGCTGGTGGTGCGGGTACGGAGGCCACCCTGGAGGTGCACATGGCTGGTGGTGCGGGTACAGACGCCACCCTGGAGGTGCACATGGCTGGTGGTGCGGGTACGGACGCCACCCTGGAGGTGCACATGGCTGGTGGTGCGGGTACGGACGCCACCCTGGAGGTGCACATGGCTGGTGGTGCGGGTACGGACGCCACCCTGGAGGTGCACATGGCTGGTGGTGCGGGTACGGACGCCACCCTGGAGGTGCACATGGCTGGTGGTGCGGGTACGGACGCCACCCTGGAGGTGTACATGGCTGGTGGTGCGGGTACGGACGCCACCCTGGAGGTGTACATGGCTGGTGGTGCGGGTACGGACGCCACCCTGGAGGTGCACATGGCTGGTGGTGCGGGTACGGACGCCACCCTGGAGGTGTACATGGCTGGTGGTGCGGGTACGGACGTCACCCTGGAGGTGTACATGGCTGGTGGTGCGGGTACGGACGCCACCCTGGAGGTGCACATGGCTGGTGGTGCGGGTACGGACGCCACCCTGGAGGTGTACATGGCTGGTGGTGCGGGTACGGACGCCACCCTGGAGGTGCACATGGCTGGTGGTGCGGGTACGGACGCCACCCTGGAGGTGTACATGGCTGGTGGTGCGGGTACGGACGCCACCCTGGAGGTGTACATGGCTGGTGGTGCGGGTACGGACGCCACCCTGGAGGTGCACATGGCTGGTGGTGCGGGTACGGACGTCACCCTGGAGGTGTACATGGCTGGTGGTGCGGGTACGGACGCCACCCTGGAGGTGCACATGGCTGGTGGTGCGGGTACGGACGCCACCCTGGAGGTGCACATGGCTGGTGGTGCGGGTACGGACGCCACCCTGGAGGTGTACATGGCTGGTGGTGCGGGTACGGACGTCACCCTGGAGGTGTACATGGAGGGCTGCTGGTGGTGCGGGTACGGACGCCACCCTGGAGGTGCACATGGCTGGTGGTGCGGGTACGGACGCCACCCTGGAGGTGCACATGGCTGGTGGTGCGGGTACGGACGTCACCCTGGAGGTGTACATGGCTGGTGGTGCGGGTACGGACGCCACCCTGGAGGTGCACATGGCTGGTGGTGCGGGTACGGACGCCACCCTGGAGGTGTACATGGCTGGTGGTGCGGGTACGGACGTCACCCTGGAGGTGTACATGGCTGGTGGTGCTGTAACACCACTCTCTTGTAACACCACCCTAAAATGTACCACTATAATGGAACACGACGTCACCCTGGAGGTGTACATGGCTGGTGGTGCGGGTACGGACGCCACCCTGGAGGTGTACATGGCTGGTGGTGCGGGTACGGACGCCACCCTGGAGGTGTACATGGCTGGTGGTGCGGGTACGGACGCCACCCTGGAGGTGCACATGGCTGGTGGTGCGGGTACGGACGCCACCCTGGAGGTGTACATGGCTGGTGGTGCGGGTACGGACGTCACCCTGGAGGTGTACATGGCTGGTGGTGCGGGTACGGACGCCACCCTGGAGGTGCACATGGCTGGTGGTGCGGGTACGGACGCCACCCTGGAGGTGTACATGGCTGGTGGTGCGGGTACGGACGTCACCCTGGAGGTGTACATGGCTGGTGGTGCGGGTACGGACGCCACCCTGGAGGTGCACATGGCTGGTGGTGCGGGTACGGACGCCACCCTGGAGGTGTACATGGCTGGTGGTGCGGGTACGGACGCCACCCTGGAGGTGCACATGGCTGGTGGTGCGGGTACGGACGCCACCCTGGAGGTGTACATGGCTGGTGGTGCGGGTACGGACGCCACCCTGGAGGTGTACATGGCTGGTGGTGCGGGTACGGACGCCACCCTGGAGGTGCACATGGCTGGTGGTGCGGGTACGGACGTCACCCTGGAGGTGTACATGGCTGGTGGTGCGGGTACGGACGCCACCCTGGAGGTGCACATGGCTGGTGGTGCGGGTACGGACGCCACCCTGGAGGTGCACATGGCTGGTGGTGCGGGTACGGACGCCACCCTGGAGGTGTACATGGCTGGTGGTGCGGGTACGGACGTCACCCTGGAGGTGTACATGGCTGGTGGTGCGGGTACGGACGCCACCCTGGAGGTGCACATGGCTGGTGGTGCGGGTACGGACGCCACCCTGGAGGTGCACATGGCTGGTGGTGCGGGTACGGACGTCACCCTGGAGGTGTACATGGCTGGTGGTGCGGGTACGGACGCCACCCTGGAGGTGCACATGGCTGGTGGTGCGGGTACGGACGCCACCCTGGAGGTGTACATGGCTGGTGGTGCGGGTACGGACGTCACCCTGGAGGTGTACATGGCTGGTGGTGCTGTAACACCACTCTCTTGTAACACCACCCTAAAATGTACCACTATAATGGAACACGACGTCACCCTGGAGGTGTACATGGCTGGTGGTGCGGGTACGGACGCCACCCTGGAGGTGTACATGGCTGGTGGTGCGGGTACGGAGGCCACCCTGGAGGTGCACATGGCTGGTGGTGCGGGTACGGACGCCACCCTGGAGGTGTACATGGCTGGTGGTGCGGGTACGGAGGCCACCCTGGAGGTGCACATGGCTGGTGGTGCGGGTACGGACGCCACCCTGGAGGTGTACATGGCTGGTGGTGCGGGTACAGACGCCACCCTGGAGGTGCACATGGCTGGTGGTGCGGGTACGGACGCCACCCTGGAGGTGCACATGTAGGAAGTGAGGAAGTTGAGTGTTGGAGTAGATGTGGAGTGCAAGTGGGTGCTGGGGAGGGTATACGTGGGTGTTGAAGTGGCTGAGGGGAGAAAGGCTGGTGTGTTGGTGTAGTGAGTATTGGAGGTATTGGTTGGGTGTAGGGGCTGTTTGTGGGGTGAAATTGGGAGCGGCTAGGGTGTGACTGGATGTTGGTTGGGCGTAACTGGGTGTGGGTGGGGTGTTGTGGGTGTGGGTGTGGATAGGGTGTTGTGGGTGTGGATGTGGGTGGGATGGATGTGGGTGGGGTGTTGTGGGTGTGGGTGTGGATAGGGTGTTGTGGGTGTGGATGTGGGTGGGATGGATGTGGGTGGGGTGGGTGGGGTGTTGTGGGTGTGGGTGGGGTGGGTTGGGTGTGGGTGGTCTACATATGAAGGCAAATATTTGAGGTGCAAAATTGCTAGATATAGAAAAGGAATTAACATTGCATAACTAAATTGGATCTGCATATGTGATCAAATAATTGTTATGGCATAGAGCATGTTGCTGTGATCAGATACGGCGCTCACCGCCCCCCCGGCACTCACCGCCCCCCCCCGGCGCTCACCGCCCCCCCCTGGCGCTCACCGCCCCCCCGGCGCTCACCGCCCCCCCTGGCGCTCACCGCCCCCCCGGCGCTCACCATCCCCCCCTGGCGCTCACCATCCCCCCCCTGGCGCTCACCATCCCCCCTGGCGCTCACCATCCCCCCCCGGCGCTCACCGCCCCACCGGCGCTCACCGCCCCCCCTGGCGCTCACCGGCCCCCCCTGGCGCTCACCGCCCCCCCCCCGGCGCTCACCGCCCCCCCTGGCGCTCACCGCCCCCCGGCGCTCACCGCCCCCCCCTGGCGCTCACCGCCCCCCCGGCGCTCACCATCCCCCCCTGGCGCTCACCATCCCCCCCCTGGCGCTCACCATCCCCCCCCGGCGCTCACCGCCCCCCCGGCGCTCACCGCCCCCCCGGCGCTCACCGCCCCCCCGGCGCTCACCGCCCCCCCGGCGCTCACCGCCCACCCCCCGGCGCTCACCATCCCCCCGGCGCTCACCGCCCACCCCCCGGCGCTCACCGCCCCCCCGGCGCTCACCGCCTCCCCCCGGCGCTCACCACCCCCCCCTGGCGCTCACCGCTCTCCCTGGCGCTCACCGCCCTTCCCGGCGCTCACCGCCCCCCCCCCCCGCGCTCACCAGCCCCCCCCGGCGCTCACCATCCCCCCGGCGCTCACCGCCCCCCCCCCCGCGCTCACCAGCCCCCCCCCGGCGCTCACCAGCCCCCCGGCGCTCACCAGCTCCTCCCCCGGCGCTCGCCAGCCCCCCCTGGCGCTCACCAGCCCCCCTGGCGCTCACCAGCCCTCCGGCGCTCACCAGCTCCTCTTCCGGCGCTCACCAGCCCCCCCTGGCGCTCACCGCCCCCCCGGCGCTCACCACCTCCCCCCGGCGCTCACCATCCCACCTGGCGCTCACTGCCCCCCCCCCCCGGCGCTCACCGCTTCCCCCCCCCGGCGCTCACCGCCTCCCCCCCCCCGGCGCTCACCATCCTCCCTGGCGCTCACCATCCCCTCCGGGCGCTCACTCGCTCCCCCCCCCTGGCGCTCACCGCCTCCTCCTCGGCGCTCACCGCCTCTCCCCCGGCGCTTACCATCCCCCCCCGGCGCTCACCGCCTCCCTTCCGGCGCTCACCGCCTCCCCCCCTGGCGCTCACCATCCCCCCTGGTGCTCACCATTCCCCCGACGCTCACCAGCCCCCCCTGGCGCTCACCAGCCCCCCCCCCGGCGATCACCAGCCCCCCTGGCGCTCACCGCCCCCCTGGCGCTCACCAGCCCCCCCCCCGGCGCTCACCAGCCCCCCCGGTGTTCACCAGCCCCCCCCCCCCTGGCGCTCACCAGCCCCCCCCCTGGCGCTCACCAGCCCCCCCCCATGGCGCTCACCAGCCCCCCCTGGCGCTCACCAGCCCCTCCTGGCGCTCACCAGCCCCCCCTGGCGCTCACCAGCCCCCCCTGGGGCTTACCAGCCCCCCCTGGCGCTCACCGCCCCACCCCGGCGCTCACCAGCCCCACCCCGGCGCTCACCAGCCCCACCCCCGGCGCTTACCAGCCCCCCCGGCGCTCACCGCCCCCCCTGGAGCTCACCGGCCCCCCCCGAGCGCTCACCGCCTCCCCCCCTGGCGCTCACCAGCCCGCCCCTGGCGCTCACCAGCCCCCCCCCTGGCGCTTACCAGCCCCCCCTGGCGCTCACCAGCCCCCCCCTGGCGCTCACCAGCCCCCCCTGGCGCTCACCGCCTCCCCCCCGGGCGCTCACCGCCTCCCCCCCTGGCGCTCACCAGCCCGCCCCTGGCGCTCACCAGCCCCCCCCTGGCGCTTACCAGCCCCCCCTGGCGCTCACCAGCCCCCCCCCCCGGCGCTCACCGCCCCCCCGGGCGCTCACCGTCCCCGGCGCTCACCGCCCCCGGCGCTCACCCCCCCCCCCACTGGCGCTCACCGGCCCCGGGCCCACCACACGCTCAATGTCAGTAATCTCGCACACTGGAAAAAAATATACTTTGTACTGATGATACTGACGATAAGAATTTATGTTATTTAAACGTGTGCGTGAGTGCGTGAGTGCGTGCGTGCGTGAGTGCGTGCGTGCGTGTACTCATCCATGTTTGCTTATTAGATGAAGATTTAGGTCTTGGAGCCCAGTTTCTAAGGCAATGACTTCCGACCAACTTTCCTATTAAAGTATATTTGCTTTTCACATTATGACTGGAGTTGGCCTCCACAACCTGCTCGTTTAACTCATTACATTTTTCAAGTATTCATGCGCTAAAAAATCTTCTCTAACAACTCTTTGTTTCATCTCAAGATTCAAACCATATCCCCATGTTCTTTTTTCAACCCTGTAAATTCTCATAAGTATTTTACATGTCTCAGTCACGTCTCCTCTTTTCTAGCGACGTTAGGTTTAACTCTTTCAGTCTGTCTTCGTGTCCCATCAGTTGTAAATCTGAGACGAGTCTCGTTGCAGTCTTGCGAACCCTTTAAAGTTTCCTTTGTGCTTTTTGATGAAAGTGAGTGGAGAGTGATGGGGGCTGCACACTCTAGGACTGGTCTCACATAGGTGGTGCTCAGTGGCCGGAATGCCACTTTATTTAGGTTTCTAAATACTGTTCTGACTTTTGCCTAAGGCTTTAAAGGTTCTTGTCTCTTCTAATTCTCCTAATGTATATATGTAAGGAATCGCAAGCCTCTACTTCCACCATTTCATGTGTTGTTGTAATTATGTCATTGTGCAGCCTAGCTCCACTGCCCTAATTGTAAAGAGCCGAGTATGAAGTATAATAAACACGTATGGAATATTCTGTTATCAGATGGCTGTGTGTTGTAGTAATACGTGTATTAATACGTGTATTAATACGTGTATTAATACGTGGTGTTATCACAACAATAGGGTAAGGACGCTCAACACGTAGATGAACATTAACCCTCAGAGTGCGCCGCGCGTGTTGTCAACAGGTAGATGGTTATACCTGGCGGTAGACTGTACAGTAGTCTACCTAGCGGTAGACTACTGTGCCGGTAGAGTACCCTGGCTGCCGGAAGCTCTTGAGAGTAAACGTCAGTTGTGTGGTGGGGAGACACCCATGTGTAGCATCCCCCAGGGCGCCCGCCTCCTGCCGGCCTCGCTCCACCACCCTCCACTCCACTTGTCTCAGTGCTCACAGTGTATACGACATAATGAAGGACATGGATGATGGCACACTCAGTGGGGACGCCAGCTGCTCCACACTCAGTGTGAGAGTATTAGAGGTGTTGTGGTGGTGGGGAGAGTGGGTAGTGGTGGAGGTGGGCCCACCAACCTCCACCATTCACCGCCACTCAGTACCTCATCACGTGACAAGTACGTCGTGTTGTGGTAACCTAGAGAATTATGAGGCGGTTTATACCTGGCCCCAAACTTCTCCTTCTGGGAGTCCGCCGGAGGATTCCCGGTGATCCTCTTGATGACGTCGTTGTCGTATATTTGTGGGCGCCTCGTGGACGACACCCGGACCTTTTTCTTGACGCTCTTCCTCTGTGTTGTGGCGGCAGTTGTGTTAGATATTATATAAAGGGGAAACAGAGAGAGAGGAGGGGGGTGGGGGTGTTCCGGATGATATGTGGCGTGAGAGGCAGAGCGAGGGATGGTGAGGGATGGTGAGGGAGTGTAGTGGTTGTGGTGACGACAGCTCCTTTCACCCTTCACCCATTACTGAGGAAGAGGGCAACAAATCAAGTTAATCTGCCCACCGCCATTTCTGTTATGTTCAGAGGAGACCAGCCCACCACCACCACCATGGAGGGTCGAGAGGAGACCAGCCCACCACCACCGCCATGGAGGGTTGAGAGGAGACCAGCCCACCGCCATGGAGGGTTGAGAGGAGACCAGCCCACCACCAGGAGGGTTGAGAAGAGACCAGCCCACCGCCATGGAGGGTTGAGAGGAGACCAGCCCACCACCACCACCATGGAGGGTTGAGAGGAGACCAGCCCACCGCCATTTCTGTTATGTTCAGAGGAGACCAGCCCACCACCACCACCATGGAGGGTTGAGAGGAGACCAGCCCACCACCACCACCAGGAGGGTTGAGAGGAGACCAGCCCACCACCACCACCAGGAGGGTTGAGAGGAGACCAGCCCACCACCACCACCAGGAGGGTTGAGAGGAGACCAGCCCACCGCCATGGAGGGTTGAGAGGAGACCAGCCCACCACCACCACCAGGAGGGTTGAGAGGAGACCAGCCCACCGCCATGGAGGGTTGAGAGGAGATCAGCCCACCACCACCACCAGGAGGGTTGAGAGGAGACCAGCCCACCGCCATGGAGGGTTGAGAGGAGACCAGCCCACCACCACCACCAGGAGGGTTGAGAGGAGACCAGCCCACCGCCATGGAGTGTTGAGAGGAGACCAGCCCACCGCCACCACCAGGAGGGTTGAGAGGAGACCAGCCCACCGCCATGGAGGG